AGCAGGAAATTAACTTTTTTTTTTTTTTTAAAGTGACATCATCTATTTCCACTCAACTGCTCTTCTATTGTTTGTCAGCACTCAATTAAAAAAATGGAAGAGAACAATAAAGGTGCAAAATAGAGCACTGTGAAATCTCAAGTTTCACAATTTTAATTCTATGGTATTGACAAGATTTCATTCCTTAAGCACTACCAGTGTATCTATTAAGACGAACAACTGTTATTTTGCACTTTGTACAATGACATCTAAAGATCAGATTTTAAAGTGCAGTAAAGTGATTGTGGGCCATCCGGCAATTAACAACACAGTTCAGATAAGGTTCTACAAGCCAGTACTAATCTACTTAAGTGAAATAAGCTCATGCTACCTCACTGCCAAAGAAATCCACTAGCAATCCCTTGGCACCTTAAACATCAAAGCTTAATTTCATTAATCCAAGTTCTTGACACCAGTCAAACCCACTGCAAAATGCAGTAAATAGCGCTCCAGCCTTGCTAAGGGCCAAGCCAACTCAGCAGCAGAAACCACAAAACGTGCAGTTACCAACACCTGTAAGGTAGAGAAAGACAACCAGAAGTTCTCATCTTTTTCTGTCTCCTGTGGCACTGCTGCTTTCCCCAGGCCAAAGGGATACTTGTGCTGCCAGGAGGAATAGAGGCTCAGGCTGCACATAGTAAACAGGGCAGGAGAGGGGAATCCATCATTTCTCCCCTTGGAACTGCCTTTTGCAGCTGCCCTTTTTGCCATCACAAATTATCACTTACACCTATCATGCAAGGAAGACTGCAGACTTATGAGGCTAAGCTATCTCTGAATGCCAGGACAGCAGACTCCCCCTCATAATACAAAGTCCCACAGCACTCTTGTTAAATTCCGTGCCTGTTAGTACAGAAACCTTAAGATCATAGAGAAGCACGCCACCAGGTTGTCATTTCATAAACAGAGACCTGAAAACATACGGACTTCCAAATTAATTTTCATGTCAGAAAGCCAGCCACCCTAGAGAATTTGTATCCCAGAAGAAGTCAGCTTTTAACAGGTGACCTGGACAAAGAAGTGATAATAAAATCAGATGTTTTAACAACATCAGGGAGATTTTTATAAGAATAAATGACAGATGCTCACTTACCACTGAGTGTCTGAAAATCTCCTGTATAATACAACTCCTCACACCAAATATTTGATTATGGAACACCAGATGAAACATTTCCAGGGAAAGGAGCTTGATCCCAAGAGATCATCCATAGTTACCTTTCCTGTTTGGTTGGGTGTTTTTTGTGTTTTTGTGTTTTTTTTGGGGGGGGGGGCTGTTGGATTTTTTTAATCTATCTGCCCCCATCTCCCTTTTAAAACATGTTTTAACACAATGCAGCTTTGACACTTCAGTAGTTGTCACTCTGAACACACTGTAAAGGCTTTAGAGACAACACTGTCCTCAAAGAACTGAAAATACTCCTTGATTTTTATCATCCAATATTGATAACTGGAACTTGTGCTAGGAAGTCAGGCTACTTAAACCTGATGGTAACTTAAGTTTAAGTCACTGCCATGCACGGAGATTAGGTTCTTCCTGAGGGATGGTTTAAATTTGACATGCATTCTGCTTCTCTGCATTTCTTGAGAATTGTCTTTATATATGAAGAACAAAATGGGGAAATTTTCACTGTTTAAACACAAGGACTAACCTGAATGAGCTCATTGCCTGCAAATGCATAGTTTCATAATATGACAGAAGTGTCTTCTCCATTTACCTCCTAAACCTGACTCAGCAATCTTAATACTGCCACCATTTGTACTGCTTCCTGGCATTTATTCTGCAGATCTTTACTTACCAACACAACACTTCTGACACCACTTAGTGTCAGGAATTTTTGTAGACACTGCAAACTTCCTGCAAGATATAAACACAGAATTATTGATCAACTAAAACAATTGAATGGATTTTCTTTTGAGAGAGTTGGTGGTGGGAAAATTATATTTGCCCCTCCCCAAACATATTTATTTGTATATTTCTTCTTAAAATGATGTACCTAGAACATACATGGTAATCCCTCTGTTAGCACCGAGATGCTGCTCAGTTAATGCAGCATTATGAATGCAGTTAAAAGTCAGGAATGGAGAGGAATAGGTACCCCACTACCTTCAAGCATCATTTACCACTATCTCTTGCTATTTCAATTAAATATATTTATACACATGCCTGGATAATCTATTGGTACTCCCATGATCATTCTTCTTTGTAATGCTGTAACTTATCCAGCATCTTGTGCTGGATACCACACAGACAACAAAGCCCACTCTTGTCCCAAGGACATTATAGTTCGAAGACAAGACACATGGACCCAAGAGTGTAGGAGACAATACTGTACTGGATAGCTTGCTGGGCTAGTGTCCTTGCAAGCTAACAGCTTAAATTATGCAAAACTTTCCATAGGCAGCACAGCATGCATTTCAATAGGAAGTCTGAAGGAGGACTGGAACACAGTTTTGCAAGATCTTTTCTCATGTGCAGGGGATGCTCCCTGAGAAATCATGGAAAAAGTTACTTGACAATTCATCAGATAAGCCAGGGAAGATATTGTTATTTGCTAGTAGTGGGAATCAGTGTTTCTATACAGACTAGAAGACAACAGATACTATGGAGATTTGCCACAGTAGCCTTGACAGTAAAAAATAACTAGTTTGATGCTGTAGAAAAGATGGGAATAACTGGAGTGATAAGAGAGATGCTGCAGTCAAAGCTATGAATTGGGAAAATACTTGCATAGCATTTCAAATGAAGCTGTACAGAAGTGATTGATAATGCAGCAGGACTGAGTAGCACGAAAACTGAGTACTGGCCACAGATTTTGCTAGGAAGAAGTAATGGAAGGTTTGAAAGGAACTGCTCAAGGACACTCAAGGGGAAGAAGCTAGGAAGGAGACTTACCACAGACGTATTTTCTGCTACTGAATGTCTGCCTACCAAGTATCATAAATTGAGCTTAGACCATTTGCAGATGAATATACAAACCTCATAAATTACTTTGAATTCTATTTTGCTTTGCATTTTCTCTACTGAAAACTTTGCTTTTAACATATCTACATTTTTCATGTAGCACTCATCATCATGGCATCCAGGAGCTTGCTGAAGAATACACTTTGTGGCCTGGTAGGAAAAAAAAGTTATGCTCTTCTACATACTTTTTCTGCCTGGCTAAATGTTACTGCCCTGACGCCTTAAAGAGAGATAAAACAGCAAAACAGATTATCTAAATGAATGTCTCCTGTCTTTGAATGACTGTCTTGGCACTCACACATTCAGGTTCTGCTGCATTTTTCTTGGGAAGTTACATGACTGGACGAGAAATTTTCTGAGTCCTCTTTACAGCTTAGGTGAGGTATCATTCCAGGCTGAATGTAGTCTGAAGGTTTTCCTCACATGATCCTTACCATAATTATGGTTATTAGTCCACTGCTGATGCAGTCCTCAAGCCAAGTCACCCAGACAAAGTTAGTTTGGAAGAGAGAGGAGCAGAACAGTGGTGCAGGTACACAGAAGACAATTCAAAGCACAAATTACCTCTTAGGTAATTAGAATTTAGCCTCTAGGAAGAACACAATTTTCAGACAAGTGTTACACCATTATAATCTGCAGATGACTGAACAAGAAGCCTTTCCTGAATCCAAGAATTAGATGTTAATAGACTGTTAATAGAACCAAAGGTAGCAAAGAATCAGGTCTTCTATAATACAATTTACTAGCAGAAAGCATATTATATGAGAAGAACCAGTGATTCACTCTGCACTTTAAAAACCAAAGGCTTCTCTGCAAACTAGATTAGTGTTACTACCTCTTCCTCTTGGATTTGAATGGGCTTCTAAGGCTTGTTTGGCAGCCAGCACTGTACCCAGTCTCTGGGATTTTGTATGCGCTTATTAGTAAACAAACTTGGAGGGACTGCATGCACAATGTGCTGTAGGCATCCGGGAACAAAAATACCTTCCACACTGGCCTGCGAAAAATGACTAGCCAATGATGAATGTCAGATCTGTACTCCAGTTCTACTCTTTCAAGCTTTCAAAATAACCCATGAGCCCACTCCCTCTGCAGCAAGAGATAACACATCCCCATTTTTTTTTAAATAGAGTAAAAAGATAGGGCTCAGAGTAACTAATGTAAGATCACCATTTCTACTTGCCTGAAATACCACAGGTACAATACTGACCCTAGATTTTATTTAGCATCAAGTACCACCAGGATTTATCCTACTAGACTATACCTGAGAAGAGCTATGCCCAGAAACAAGAGGCTTCATGACAAGAAGGCAAAATGTACCAAAACCCATTTCTCTAATAAGAGTATATTCACATCTTGATTCATGTAAATTTAGGGGTCTACCCTCTGATTAATGCCCATATGAGTTATTCATGGCAATCCGTGAACAGAGCTTCATATTATTTGCTATTCCCACAGTTTCACAAGCATATCTGGAACTCCCAGAATTAAGATGTTCTGATGTATCTAATGATGTGTATTTACCTGGGAAGTATTCGGTCAGGGAGTTTATGTGCTGGAATAGCAACAGGTAATTTTTGCATTTGCCTTGCATAATCAAACAGTCCTGGTAGATTATGGGAATAAAGCTGAGAAGCTTTACCTGGAAATTAGAAAACAAAACCACACTTCAAATATGAAACCAAATGTTTACCAGCACTATCACTCAAAGACAGCACAGTAACTTACCAGATACTGACAACAAGCAATTGTTCATGACATATAACCATGTACACCTTCGAGGAAATAGCTGAAAAAGGGAAGGAAAAACAAAGAAAGAAAAGCATTCAGTTTGATATACACAGAATGTGAGCACATTAAGTTGATCAATTAATATCTGCAGAGACAACAGGACAAAACTAATATTGACTTGCTTTTTGTAGCAGAAATTAGCTCTAAGACAAGTATGTTTACCTGGATTCCAGTGTTAATTCAGAGTACATCTTAGGCACATACACTATATTTAACATAAACATTAACAATTGGACAATTATCACATTTTATATTCATGTCTTCAAGTATAAGCCCACAAAACGTCATTATACTGATCAATCAATTCTTTTTCAAAAATTTTACAAACCATCAAAATTTCTCCTTCAAAGGAGAAAAGCTTAACATCATCAACTTCAGTAAACAAAGCATAGTCAACAAACCACAGCCATTCTAAAGCCCATGATAGTCCAAGTCTCTTGAAGCAATTAAAACTGGCACTTGAAGGGACTCTCCATCTGCATATGATTACACATTTCAATTAAGTGATCAAGGAATGCAACAAACACTCAATGCAACAAAAACTCAAACAGAATTGCTATTTGTCAAATCCCACAATTACTAGGAAAATAGGGCCAACAAGACATAAAAAAAAAGATTAACAAAAAGAAGATGGTACTGGGTACTGGTACTTTTTTCCCCACTCTCACACACCTTCTGGAGCGTGTTGCCACAAGGGGTCATGGAGGTGGAAAGTACGAACAGCGTAAACGAGGCATTAGACATACTTATGTCCAACAGGTCCATAAATGGACACAAAAAGCAAATAGGCAGGTATCCTCCAACATCCCCAATTCAATGACTGAAGTCAGAATCAATGACTGAAGTGGAGTCTGAGAAGAACAGACAGCAGACAGTGGCCAAGCTCACGGGCATTTCCTACCGCCACTTTAGGAAACAGACTATTGGGCTAGAGAGACCACTCAGGAGGGAATTTCTTTTTCTCTTAAAAAAACCCCAAACAAACCCACAACAAAAAACCAAACCAAAACAAACAAAAAAAACCCCAACAAACAATAACACCCCCTCCTCTGGTTTATTAGAAAGATTTGAACAGATCTGTAAATTAATTGGAGGATTTTTTTGGTCAAAGAGTAAGAGATTCATCTTGAAGCTGTGCTAACTCCTTGAAACGTATGTTATTTCTACTTTGTCCATTAGTGAAGTGGAATGTAGTGAAAAATAACCAAGGATACTACTATTTCTTTTACACTGAATTGTATCAGACCTAGAGAGTAAACAATGAAGTGAAACACAGAACTTGAAAATGCTATTAAAGTCCTATGGCCTGTTATCATAAATAACAATGTAATAAACGGTTAGCACAGAGGGTGCACTACTATTCCTGAAGTCTTCTCATAACCTATACACACTGTAGGAAAAACCTACTGTAATGATCTACCAGCCTGGCTGCATCCAAATGTAATGTGCAAGTTTAATTGATCTTCTGTAGCTGCATAAGTATATTGTGACTTAGTAGGCTTGTATCTGAGGATTAGAGAACAGCAACACTTCAGATTTGCAGGTTGATTGACCTGTCACTCATTCCTCCTGTTCCACACTACTGGCTGTTTATACAAGCATCTCTTCTCATCTCTAAGTGCTTATTAAAACATTTCCCTAAAAGCTTACTAGACAATGCACTACAGAACAGTGACTTGAGAAAACAAGGACACATATGAGAGCATGAGTTTCATTACATTTATTCTCCTTGCCAATTAAAAAAAAAAAGAAAAAAGCAAAACTTTCCTTGGTCTACTTGGCCTGCAAGATTTATTGTATCAGTGATATTTCTCAGGGTAGGTTTTACAACTGCAGTGTAGCATCAGAGAGGTACCTGAGCTAGGTTTAAACTAGCTAACTCAAGCACCAGTATGATTATGGGGATTACATGGAACTCAGTGCAGGCTAGCTAGGCCGCCTTCTCAACACAACAGACAATCTACAACGTCTGGACCCTGGAAGATGAACAAACAGCAGTGCCTCCAGCTTACAGTGAGAAGGCTGTCCTTGCAAATTCCTTCATGTCAATAGCAGATGCATAGCTCCCTAAGTTAGGGAGAAGGCAGGAAAGAAAACAACTCTCAGAGATTAACAAAAGAGCTGGAGAACACACCATATAAAAAAGCCTGCTATTGGCATTTACCTCCTACAGTAACCCCTCAAAAAATTACTCTTTATAAGGTTCTGCAAAGACAGAGTTTTAATTGGGATTCAATAAGCTAAGTCTCATCAGTAAAGCTGCTTTTAAGACCAAAATAATGGAATCTACTGTATAAAGGTTCTCCTTGCTTCCCTGTAGCTGAAACACAGTGTTTGTTGCAAACATTCTATCTTGTAACCAAGCTTTAAAGAAAATAGAAACTTTCATCCAAAATAGATCAGTGAAATTACATACTATTTAACAAATCATTTAACTGCAGGACAATGCACTATGAAGTTCAACACATAGATATATGTAGAACTCCTACTTCAACATGGCTCAGCCTACCAAAAAATTAAGCATGACTGTAAGGTACCCTCAATAGTAAACATTTAAGATAATTCTCAGTGTAGCTAGTGCCTATGTAACTGTAGTAAAGACAATTTTTGCAAAGATTAATAATAATCTGAGTGGCTAAAAAAAAAGCCACAAAGTTATATTTTTTTCCCCCAAAATATCAAAACAGAAATATACCTGCTCCATTGATGTTTCATGAAGTTCATTGAGATTCAGTGTGTAAATACCTTCTTCTGCACCAAATATCAAGTACTGATCTGCAAACACAACAACAAGAAAATCTATAAATCCTGATTTAAGGAATGTGTATTCTGTAAGAGTATGCAGCTCTTTACCCGCCCCCCCACCCCCAAAAACCAAAAAACTTAAAACAATTACACACGTTGAAACAAACCAACCTATAATAGTCACGGTTTTGAAAGCATGGAAAATTAATCTTGCTAAGGAAGCTTAAATTTGTGGATGGGGCTGTTTTTAAGATATTAGGGAAGACTAGTATTTTTTTTGTGAGTTGCAATTGGAATAAAAAACAGCAGTGATGCAACCATAAGCAAGAATTCATGTGAACAATTTCCTCATGTATAGATTAAATATACTTGTATCTATATAAAAACATATAATATATCCATATATTTCGTGACATATTCATAGCCTTCTTCTGAAGTATTGATTAGTACTCCAAAAGTTATTAACAAAATTATTAACAGCAGTTAGTTTGCCAATTAGTTATTAGCAAAATAATTACAGCAGTATTAACAGGAACATTTTCTCAGTACTTTGGGGGTGCCTCACTTCTTGAACATGATTAATACCCTGGATTATATTTAGGCATGTGAACAAGACAAGACATCTCATATTGAGAAGACATCAACTGCAAAAAATGGACTTCTGTAACTTCAGTTTCTAAAAAAATCTAAGTATTTTCTTGCTTACTGGCTCAGTAGCACATCCATAGTGCCTATAATTAAAAGGTGAAATTGCAGGCAATGCAAGTACAAAGTTACCAATTACCCCTTTCATCAGGCTATATAATAAAGCACTAAAACTTACGAAAAAATAAAGTGTTGCAGAAACCTGTAGGACCAGAAAGATTTGCGGGGAGGGGGATCAAATAAATGATAAAGAAATCAATCTCAACTAGGACCTCCAGAAATCAGGTTTTAAAAAAATAAATCAGGATTGGCATCTTTTGGACTAAAATGTTGAGAAGAGTCTTGAATAAAAACAACAAAATATGGGTTTTTTTTACCTTTGATATGTAATTTATTCTTTTTAAACAAAGCTGAAAACTGCACCCCATATATCTTAACATAATTTAAAAAAACATTGAATTTCAGACAGCAGTGGCATAATTAAAGAACTTCTGCTTATGAGTAAACCTATTTTACAATATGTGTATTTGTCTTGCTCATCTAAGCATTCTTGAAATCTGAGGAGATGACAAAATGGGTAAAATACACGTAATACACTACCTCTTGTATCTGGATTTATCCATGATGTTGCACAATGAATTTTTAATGGACAGCCATTAAAAACCTTTGAAAAGCAAGCACCCATCTGTAGAAGTAAAAACAATTAAAAATATCCATATGAAAAACTAAAATGTGACATTTCCAATAGGAGTATTTTTACTTAAAGTGGTAATAAAAGTTTAAGAGCAGTTTCACTTGCCACATGGAAAATAACCTCATCCAGACAATAAGCTGACACGGGTATTTTTTTAAAAGTGATTTTTCCCTTGTGCACAAGACCTTTCTGAACAAACATACCAGAATTAGCATTTTGGAATTAGTTCTTAAATTAACAATCTAAGCACATACTTTCTACAAAGGTGACAAACCTGAAAAAGCTTCCCAAATTTTGTGACTTTAGAAAATCTAAACAGAGGAACTTCATTCTTGCCATATTTCACACATTTAAAATAAAACTCTAGGTCATGCAGCAATCAAAATCTTAGTCTCAGATTCTCTATCAGTCATTTAAAATTAACTTATTTTCAATATTGATTGCTTCCCAAAGGGAAATCTCTGGTAGAAGATCCCACTCCTTGTTCAGCATAACCCCAATAAACTCAGTTTGCCTATTAAGTAAGTGTCTTGCATAGTATGATGTAACCAATCTCTCCATCTTCCCCCAGTGAAGCATAAGTATTTGTAGGCATTTATAAGAATATTTAGTATATTTGCTTCAAGATGACAGAAAAATCAAAAGCCAGAGTTTCCTCCTTTCCCCCCAACATCAACATAACAATTACCCATCCTATTTCGTTAAGAAACAGAGCTGACCGATAGTCATGTAGATGAAAAGGAATGATGCAGTAGTAAACAACAATTAGCAAAGTGAAATATTATAATTTATCAAATGGTCAAACATAAGAACATAGGTAAGCATTGCCATCCTGAATATAAACAGGTATCACCTTTACACAGAGCTACATACTCTGTAACACAGCTACAGAATGGCAATGTTTTCACTTTATATTAATACTTTGTGAATTATTATTAATCTCTAAACTGAATTAACCAAATAGCTCTTGTGTTAACATTTGGACAATTTTTTTGTTAACTTGCTGCTGAATAAGAAAGTCCGCACACATTTCAGTCACTTCTGAACATAGTTTAATGAGAGGAAGGGGGAGGCGAGAGAGAGGGAAAAGAAGAACTTCATAATTAACCCTTTAAAATGCAAAGCAGCAGAAATTAGACCTTTTTTTGTGCTTTCGACATCTCTCATTTTTGCATCACTATAATGAAGTCCATGGGTTTGTCCACATATACTTATGTGAGGGAAGAATCAAATTAATTAAGGTAAATCAATACATGAAAGACCCCATTGCACAAAGACAACGGGAAAGACTTCAGCACTGCTAGTACCACTGCAGAAGTCCAAGTAACAAAGCAGGGTACAGCTGTCTAGCTGGCTAGACAACGAGATGATTATTCTGCAGGCATAAGAACAGAAGTAAGAGAAAAGATACATGTGAGGCAGGAGTATGAGAAGACACTGACACAGAGTGACCTCAAGGTATTGACAGCTTTAATGTTGTCAAATCTCTTGGCAGCAAGGGGTGTGAAGGAGGGATGATAAAGAGACAAATAATAAGGAGATTTTCTAGGCCACTTTATGGAAGCCTTTTCCCAAGTGTGCAGGGCATTGAAAGGCACTCAACAGAAAATTCACCAGATGACACTTGAAGCATGGATCTCCTAGAATATTGGTAAGTGTTTCTGCTGCTCCTGTAACCAGCTATGCAATTCTCTTGACCTTTCCAAGCACTGGAGATGCTGCACAGTGGAGTGAAGCTGTGCTCACTGCTAAGACCTAGTTGAGCTCTGCAGTGATAAGTTGGGCAAGAAAGGAGGAGACTGAAATCAGAAGAGACTAATCAATTTCCTCTGGCCATTCTCAGCCCTGATCTCCAGGAAGCCGGCAGAACCAAGATGCTGCTGCAAATGCCTCAGAAGGGTAAAATGGAGCCTGAGGGTATCACCTCTAAATACAAAACAAATCCCAAGGATACAGCTGAGAATCTGCATTGCTAGTGGGGTGTGGGGGGGACGCCACAAACATGAAATAAAAGGTTGAAGCAAGCCTACTTGATCTGACTGCTGCCATGGAGGCATTTAAGTCTCGGGGGAATTTCAGCAGGCTGGGCCTTCCTTCATTGGTAGGATCTAACACGTTCTCCCAGTGCTGCAAGCCACCTCAAACAAGGAAAAACACACTACCTGACTGTGTTATTACGAAAGTTGAACAAGTGAAAAAGTTGAACACTCACTAGTGCTGAGTACAGGGGGATAATCACTTCTCTAGTCCTGCTGGCCACACTGTTTCTGATACAGCACAGGATGCTGTTGGCCTTCTTGGCCACCTGGGCACACTGCTGGCTCATGTTCACCTGGCTGTGAACCAGCACCCCTAGGTCCTTTTTCTACTGGGCAGCTCTCGAGCCACTCTTCCCCAAGCCTGTAGTGTTGCATGGGGTTGTTGTGACTGAAGTGCAGGACCTGCCACTTGGCCTTATTAAACCTCATACAGTTGACCTCAGCCCATCGATCCAACCTGTCCAGATCCCTCTGCAGAGCCCTCCTACCCTAGAACAGATCAATACTCCTGCCCAACTTCGTGTTGTCTGCAAACTTACTGAGGGAGCACTCAATCCCCTCATCCAGATCATAGATAAAGATATTAAACAAGACCGGCCCCAAAACCAAGCCCTGGGGAACACCCCTTGTGACTGGCTGCCAACTGGCTTAACTCCATTCACCCAGAGGAAAAAAAAAGTAGAACTTGTGAGTTGAGATAAAAACAGCTTAACAGGACAGGAAAAAAAGAATAACAACAATAATTACAGTAATGAAGATAAAAGAATATATAAAACAAACGATGCACAGTGCAATTGCTCACCACCTGATGACTGATGGCCCAGTTACTTCCTGAGCTGCAGCGCCTCCCCAGCCGACTCCCCCAGTTTATGCACTGATCATGACGTCGTATGGTATGGAATATCCCTTTGGCTAGTTGGAGTCAGCTGTCCTGGCTGTGTCTCCCGCCCCAGCTTCCTGTGCACCCCTTGCCTTCTCGCTGGTAGGCCAGCTTGAGAAGCTGAACAGTCCTTGACTGTTTAGCAACAACTAAAAACATCAGTATGTTATCAACATTATGTTCATCTGAAATCCAAAACACAGCACTACACCAGCTATCAGGAAGAATAATTAACTCTATCCCAGTTGAAACCAGGACAAACACTTAACAGGAAGGTTAGAAAGTTTGTTATACATAAATGGTGGGTTGTGATGAGGAAAGAGGACGAGAGGGGAAAGAGCTTCTAACCCGAGGACCAGCAGAACCAGAGAATTAGTGCACAACAAAGGTGCACGAACATGCAGAGAGCAGTCCAATACCCAAAGACTCATTTGATCAGCTTCAGAGGTTTTCCTGTTTTAGTCAGTCTCTTTTTACAGTTTCATTATATTAGCAACTCACAGTCATTCTCTGATGGCCTGTTCCTGAAGTTTGTGGCAAAAGTTCAACACATATGACTTCATTTTGAGCTATTCTATTTTCTACCCTTTTTCTTCTTCCAGTCAGTGAATGCATCTTATTTCCCCCTCCCCATGATGACTCAGTTCTTTTCAATGCTAGGAGTGCTTCCAAATTTCTGTCATCCACTAGTTTAAAAGTATGCACTCCTAGGCCATGCATTCAGTTTAATATTCAGTTTATTAAAACAGGATTGACCTCAATAAATGATGCTAAATATATAAAGAATTCAGAGCTCTGGAACAATCCTGTGCATTTATGCAAGAGATTACAGTTCTAAGGAACAGAAGCATGACATCTACCTTAACCTGTCCTGCTTCTCTAAAATGGGTAGGAAATAAAAAATAATACAATTTGCACTTACACATACTTGTAGCAATTTTATTTTCTTATCTAAAGATGAGAAACTGATCTGTCTTAGGACTAATGTAGCAAAAAGGTTAATTTAAAATCAGATGAATCCCTCATTTGGCGCACAGCACAACTGCATGAATGCATGCTCCAGCACACAAGGAGGAGACTAGTGAGGGCAGAAACAAATGGTCAAGAAGGAAAGACTGGCTCTTCTGATCGCAGTGCTGGCTAAATGCACAGTGACAAGTCCATGCAGATATTACAATGAAATTCTAGTTTGCTTTCTGTTATAAAAGGTACACATAGATGTCTGTAACAGTTCTTTCCAGCCCTAAGGCATCCATCTTCAGAAGTTTTGAAAGCTAGAGCTGTATAGTATAAACTTTGAGCTATCTGCAATTCCTGAGAGGCATCAGCTCCTCAGATCAGTAAGTACCTTCAGTACGCTGAAAGTACTTCTGTAACATTAGCCACAGAACTCTCATTCACTTTTTAATGAAGCAAGCAAAAAACCTTGCAAAATTTACTTCAAGAGCACAAGATCAAAGGTGATTTCTGAAATAACATACCTGTGGCTTAACATTTCTAAGAGATACTGGCTTTCATTTTTTAAAAAATACTACAAATATTCAAAACGTGTAGTCTCAGTTTTAGTAAGAAAATACGTCCTGCTTCCAACATGCATTTGTATGACTAATACTCACATGTACTTTAGGTGTGGGAGGAAGGCCATTACTAATTGGTTTCTAGAAAACAAAAGTTGAAAAATGTGTTTACACTTACATGCGCACATATGCATGAACATGCATATTCTCTTCCCACAACACAGCATAACCAAAAGGTCTAAAAAAATTTTTTTTAGAATGCTGTTAAAAGCACTTTATAAATAATTGAGCATAACTCTATTAGGAAAAAGTAAAAAGCCAATACTTATATCTACGTAAGAAATAACACAAAATCTGCAGGGAGGGTTTTGTAAGACAGTAAAGTTGTGTTGTATATTCTACAATATGCTAAATGGAAGGCACTAGGTATCTACTGGGACACTCCGCTGCGTCCAGTGCCACATGTACTAGATCTGAAAGCCCTGGCTGAGCTTTGGCTACAGTTCCATTTTTAAGCATGATACCTCCCTTCCAACCAACACTTTCATAATTCTGTGTGAGTTTGCTAACTACGTGTCTCTAGTGACCACATACCACAAACTAATAGTATCATTTTCTTTCATTAAAACTTCTACTATGATTACCTAATATCTCCTCACTGAATGTCTGCGTAGTCTATTGTGCAACATTTGCACATTACAACGATGCCTGAAAGAATGTCATATCCAGCAATACAAAGTTTAAGCAATGTTGCAGCAATTGTTCAATATTATATGCAGTGTTAAACTATCAATCAGTACTAGACCACTTTCCTTTGTAAGTATCAATTTCTCTTAGTAAAAACATGCTTCTGAAGAAATGTATTTTACAGGTAACACGGGAAACTTCAAACACACAATTTCAAATGCCAAGTTCAAAGCAGTTCAGGAAATCGTACTTTCCAAAGTACTGCACTTCCTTAAAACAAAACAAAAATGCACATAATGTTTCTGCTCTATTTCCTCCTCACTGCTCTCAAAAGAGTGTTATTTTCAACCTCATCCTTACAAGAAGTCCCCAAGAGTGCAGTTTCACCTGATCCAACTACAGATGCCCCACTCTGTCCTATCTCACATTCCCACTTTTGCTTTTGCATCATAGTAATACAGTGCCCACTCTGGAAGCCATTTCCTGCTTTGATGGAAAAACTCACTTGGAAGAGGAGAAAGGGATGCAGGAATATTCCCTTTCCTCAGCTCACAGCTGGATCAGATTACAGGTGGTGTAAAACTGCATTCTCTCCACAAGTGCAACTTCACATGAATATATGTAACTCAAGTCTGACACTAAACGCAAGCTGCTAAACCCTGAAACCCGGAGCTCCAGAGGCCATCAGGCATACAGCTTGCATATCTGGACCCTCAACCTACATTTCTCCATCTTTTTGCCCCTGAAGACCAAAAAGCCTGTGTGCCTACATCTGGGGTAGGAGGAGGACTCATTTGGGAACAGCCCTGACTCAGCTCCTTTCCCAGGGCCAGCCAAATCCTGCAGGAAGCCATCAGGTGGCAGCACATTCCTTCATTTTCTCATTTGCTTAGTCATTGCTCAGTACAACACATTACATCTCACAGGATCTCAATCTTATTACATTTCTCTCAAATATGTAAATACAAGCAAGTTAATCTTGTATATTCATGTTTAAATACCGACTCAAACTTCAGCTTAAGACTGTATCACAACTAGACAATCTAGCAAAACTGTGGTTTGATTCAAAGTAAACAAGATGCCATCCAGCCTTATTTCTATACTAAAAAGAGTGTGCCCGCTCCTTTCCATTGCACATGTAAAACAGCTGAGACAGCTTTAAAATAACACCTAGAAGCTTAAATACCTACCAGTATTTCCTTCTTTTCTCTCCTTGAAAAATTACTCTCTCTAGCTTCATTCTGTTGATGTGGTGATCCTTCTCTTTCACCATTTAATTGTACAGAAATTACTCCATTACCTAGAAAGATTCATATTTAAAAATGTGTTCTTCTACCTTCAACTCAAAGAGCAGCCTAGCCTAAAAACAATTTTGAAGCACCAAAATTTCCACTTATGTCAGAACATGTTCCGATACCCTCATTTATTTCTAAAGCATACATGTTCCTACACATGCACATATAACCATGTATAAAGCCACGCTCAATCTCAATCCATGGCTTTTGCTAATTAATATAACAAATCAAATGTGGGCATAGAAAGGGATGCAGTCACAACTTTGACTATTTCCTCATAACTATGAGGAAAAATGCATTTAATGTATCTAAAGAAAACTTGGCTAGAGCTAATGCTTCAATTATCGATTCTTTATAAATAGGCATTTCTTAGCACTGGATGCTTAAGTGTTACAGTCAAATCACATCAACTGCAGTACTAAATACGTAGCAACAAAGAGCTAGCAAGATACCAATTAAAGAGTCAGACATTAAGCTTGCTTAAAACAAGCCAGTCCAGGACAATTCTCAAAGCATCAGACTTTAACAAAAGCATAAAAGAAACAGCCCGAGCAAACAGCATACAAACACAGTTACCTGCTATACTACCCAACCCAGTTCATTACTTAAAAAGCAAACCTCTATTCTTGACATGTCGAATGACAACAGCTGACAGAGTCAGCCAGAATCTGAAACCTACGATACGTTATAAGGCTGTTGCTTAGAAAAGCAATTGTGTCACCTATGTATCGTGTCAGTGACTTTACTAGAAGGTACATTTGACCCTCTTAAAAGAGTTTAAGCATGCTTTCTTTGTGCTTTTTGGCTTTCATGCATTTTCTGCTACTTGTCCACCACTGAAAAATTGCCACAGTATTTTAACATAGGATGTTGAAATAACATCACATTAGATAATTTAAGAAATATTTGTATACATCTTGGTGTCACACTTATTACCTAAAGCATTAGATTTCTGTGGAGGTAATCGAGGAGGTGGTGGTCTGGGAGGAACATGAGATGCAGATTTTGCTGGACTCTCTGACATCGGGCATCTCTTGATTGTCCCTTGATTATCATTTTCAGAAGGATGAGTTTCTTGGGGCATAAAGATGGATTTTGGCTGAAAAAGACACAGTAATAATAAAAACCTAATGAAAAAAGATTCAAAAATTCCATGCTACTTCTCAATGAGAAAAAAAAACAAACGTGCAATATTTGGATCCTGGAATTTTCACAAGTAAGTTGATAAAGCAACATGTTCTGCTATGCAACTTACTTTCAAAAAGCAAACTAGAAAGAAACAATAGAGTCATAGAATCTTTGAGTTGGAAGGGACCTTTAAAGGTCATCTAGTCCAACCCCCCACCGCAATGAGCAAGGACTTCCAACTAGATCAGGTTGCTCAGAGCCCCATCCAACCTGACCTTGAACCTTTCCAGGATGGGGCATCTACCACCTCTCTCTCTGTGCCAGGGTGTCATCACCCTCACTGTCAAAAATGTCTTGCTTATATCTAGTTGAAATCTGTTAGTTTAAAACTATTACCCCTTGTCCTATTGCAACAGGCCCTAAAACATCCGTGCTCATTTTTCTTATATGCCCCCTTAAGTACTGGAAGGCTGCAATAAGGTCTCCCTGGAGCCTTCTCTTCTCCAGGCTGAGCAACCCCAACTCTCTCAGCTTGTCCTCACAGGAGAGGTGCTCCATCCCTCAGCTCATTTTTGTGGCCTCTTCTGGACCATCTCCAACAGGTCCATGTCACTCCTGTGCTGAGGGCTCCAGAGCTGGATGCAGGACTCCAGGTGGGGTGTTGCCAGAGGAGCTTAGAGGGACAGAATCACCTCCCTCGACCTGCTGCCCACACTTCTTTTGATGCGGCCCAGGATATGATTTGCCTTCTGGGCTGCGAGCGCACATTGCCAGCTCATGTCCGGCTTTTCATATACCCCCACCAGTACCCCCAAGTCCTTCTGGGCAGGGCTGCTCTCAATCCCTTCATCCCCCAGTCTGGACTCATACTGGGTGTTGCCCCGACCCAAGTGCAGGACTTGGCCTTGTTGAACCTCATGAGGTTCACATGAGCCCATTCCTCGAGCTTGTTCAGTCGCTCTGGATGGCATCCCATCCCTCAGGCATGTCAACTGCATGACTCAGCTTGGTTTCATCTGCAAACTTGCAGAGAGTGCACCCGATCCCACCGTCTATGTCATTGATGACAATATTTAAACTAAAAGAGGGCAGATTTTTACTAGATATAAGGAAGAAATTTTTTACAATAAGGGTGGTAAAACACTGGAACAGGTTGCCCAGGAAGGTAGTAGATGCCCCATCCCTTGAAACATTCAAGGTCAGATTGAACGGGGCTCTGAGCAACCTGATCTAGCTGAAATCCCTGCTCATTGCAGGGGTGCTGGACCTGATGACCTTTAAAGGTCCCTTCCAACCCAAACCATCCTACAATTCTGTGATATTAAAGAGTACTGGTCCCAATATGGATCCCCAAGGGACACCTCGGGGGGGTGTCCACCCCACACCAATCTCCATCTGGACACTGAGCCATTGACCACTACCCTCTAGATGCGACCATCCAATCAATTCCTCATCCACCCAACACTTCCACCCAACACTTCCACCCATCAAATCCATATCTCTCCAATTTAGAGAGAAGGATGTTGTGGGGGACTGTGTCAAAGGCCTTACAGAAGTCCAGACAGACGACATCAGTAGCTCTTCCCTTGTAATGCATAGCAATAAGGAAAACATTATTATCGACAAAGGACAAATCCAAAATGATTATATTCAAGTCATGCATTAAACAATCTTTGGGTATTTGGAAGTGTCACTGTTTATACCTACAGATAACCAAACCAGACATTTAAGTAGAAACTAGGGAACATTCAATGATACAGCCCGATCTTACTGTAAAGAATCACAAAATAGGGGATGTAACTACAACCCGCAACATTCTTTAGACACTGACTGCACTAATGCCGCTTTTAAAATCCTTCTCAGTTACACACATGTAGTTAGTGCAGGAGGGCAAGTAACCAGACCTGCAGTTTTAGCATGGGGAACTGACAGCCAGGTAAAAAAAAAAGTGTTTTTTCTCTTTATTTTTGCTCATATTAAGATAACTTCAGTGTGAAAAGATTCACTTACTCTTCAAGTGGCAGCATGCAAAATCTAATCTGATCCAGGCATGCCCCTGAAGATCACCATTCAGACACCAAAGTTAGCAAGCAGATGCTTTATTTGGCACTACAATTTTTAAGTACTCAATTTATTCCTTCCAAACTATCGGAAGTGCAATTAGTCAGAAACATCACTTTCACACTGACAAATACCCTACAGTGCAAAACCTCATGCAGATTTGCAATTAAAGTCTATGAACATATAGGTCAACCCCCTGGATACACCCTTCACTTAAAACTTGATTCAAGTCTTCAATTCATGGCTCAAGTAAGAGAGCCATCAGTATAGTCATTCACACACCTCTGCATTTCTTTATTTAAAGTGGCCTTTTACTCTGAGCAACAAAATCCCCCTCACTTACCTTTGGTGGTAAAGGAGGTGGCACTTTAGGTTTCATAGTAGCACTATAAAGAAAAGAAACAAAACAGATTGTTATCCAGTGTAGCTCTCTGAACCCTGCATTGCAGTGTTCAAGAGGATTTTATAAATGCTGTAGAAACAAACACCGTTAACTTGTCAAAAGCACTATTATGTTCAAATAAGTGCATCGTGAATACTTTCAAGCATTTTGTTACTGCTGTGTATACCACAGATACTATCTGAAAACTCAAGTATCAGAGATCTTCCCTAGACTGCACAAAGCAACATGAACTGATTTGTTGAAAATGCACATACTTGTGCAGAAAAAAGTAGGGAAATGCAGATATCTAAACGCAGAAATATAGATCAGTGAGCTTTTTTAAAGGGCCATCTGTAGGTATATAGGGCAAATGGGAGTTACAAGAAAACTGATGAGTACCATTCCTTGAAAAATTTACCATCGACTTCTTCAGAACACTCTTACACATGAAAGCAAAATCCATCTGCAATGGACAGTGAGGCTACTGTCTGGCTTCGTTTTTTTTTTTTTTTTTTTTTTTTTTTCTTTCTTCCATGAGGTTCTTTTTTCACAGGAATCTTAGGAAAGACAACTTTTTAACACAAGAACAATTCAACATCTTGGCTCAACAATACAAGATATCAACAGCAAACAAGAAAGCTGAATCATCAGGAGCATTCTTCCTCTGCTGGTTCTGTGTTTTAAAGAATATGCTGTATTTTTTTAAAAAATTCTAAATTCCTACATTTTTTATTGTTTTTAAAAACACTTACACTGTTCTGTTTCCTAATATTTTGGAACAGAAAATTATTTCCATTAAATAATTAGGAATACATCTTTGAAAACTTCACGTTCTTGCATGGTATTTTCCTCATTTTACAATTATGTTCTAAAGTTTTGGCAAAATATCCAAGTAGTAAGGTATCTGTTTGCTTGTTTACAGATCAACAACTTGTCTGCTCTGCTTCATTCTTTAAATGAGTTTGTGTCCTGGTATTTTATCAGTTGCTTTCATTTCAGAGAAGCTGGAAGGCAACTTCTGAGAATGGGTTACCCTGTGTCATGCACTTCAGCTGCTATGGTGATGGAAATTATTTTCTCTTCGTAACATGGGACCAAGCTTAAGTCCTCAGTCATGTGTGTCCAAGCTCCATTTGTATTTTCTTTCATACTCTTCCCTGCAGCTCAGACAGCCATCACAGTGTTATTGGGCAGCCAAATGTAAAAAACAAAAAAGCCAACAATTTGGCATAAATGTGACAGACGTTTGTGCAAAGGACTGCATGCCCTGGTTTCAACACCAAGGTTCATGTGCAGTTTATCACCACTGATCACGCCGGGCAGTGCCACAATAATTTCTGCTTTCCCAGCTTCCGTAACCAAGAAATTCAAGCATCACCAGTTTTGCTGCATGAGAGAAAAAGAAATATCAAAACAACCAAAATTATTAAATGGAGATAATTTTATATCATCCCCTAAAGCATGTGGATTCTCTGCTGCTATGAATCACCCAGCTTTAGAGTCATACAGTGGCATCAGTTTGGAGTGGAAGGTGTACAGCTGCTCCACTGTTTTTGTTCTGGATCTGAAAGGAGAAGTGACCAATGTCACATGTGGTCTCCAGCATTCTCCTGGAGAAACTGGCAGCTCGTGGCTTAGACAGGTGTACTCTTGGCTGGACGGCCAAGCCCAGAGAGTTATGGTGAACAGAGTTAAATCCAGTTGGCAGCTGGTCACAAGCAGTGTTCCCCAGGGCTTGGTTTTGGGGCCGGTCTTGTTGAATATCTTTATTGATGATCTGGATGAGGGGATCGAGTGCTCCCTCAGTAAGTTTGCAGTTGACATCAAGTTGGGCAGGAGTGTTGATCTGCTCCAGGGTAGAAAGGCTCTGCAGAGGGATCTGGACAGGCTGGGTTGATGGGTGGAGGTCAACTGTATGAGGTTTAATAAGGCCAAGTGGCAGGTCCTGCACTTCAGTCACAACAACCCCATGCAACGCTACAGGCTTGGGGAGGAGTGGCTGGAAAGCTGCCTGGTGGAAAAAGGACCTGGGGGTGCTGGTTGACAGCCAGATGAACATGAGCCAGCAGTGTGCCCAGGTGGTCAAGAAGGCCAACAGCATCCTGGCCTGTATCAGAAATAGTGCAGCCAGCAGGACTAGGGATGTGATCATGCCCCTGTACTCAGCACTGGTGAGGCTGCACCTTGAATCCTGTGTTCAGTTTGGGGCCTCTCACTACAAGGACATTGAGGTGCTGGAGCATGTCCAGAGAGGGCAATGAAGCTGGTGAAGGGTCTAGAGCACAAGTCTTATGAGGGGCTGAGGGGACTGGGATTGTTTGGTCCAAAGAAGAGGAGGCCGAGGAGAGACCTTATTACTCTCTACAGCTACCTGAAAGGGGGCTGTGGTGAGGTGGGTGTTGGTCTCTTCTCTGAAGTAACTAGTGATAGGATGAGAGGAAATGGCCTCAAGTTGCACCAGAGGAGGTTTAGATTGGATATTAGAAAAAGTTTCTTCACTGAGAGAGTGGTCAAGCATTGGAACAGGCTGCCCATGGAGGTGGTGGAGTCACCACCACTGGAAGTATTCAAAAAACATGTAGACATGGCACTTCGGGACATGGTTTAGTGCTCATGGTGGTGTTGGGTTGGTGGTTGGACTTGATGATCTTAAAGGTCTTTTCCAATCTTAATGATTCTGTGGTTCTGTGATTCCATTGCAGCTCCATCTCTCAGAATGTAATTCAAACAAAAGCCTTAAATCTTCAGTGGGCTCCAGAGAAAGGTATCTGAGATTGAGCTGATGAACCAACATATTGCAGCAGAGCTTTGGGCTCAAGCATATACCAAAAGGAAATACACAGATGCAGAATCAGTCTCATCCAAGGTTGAGGAATTCATGGCCTACCCTGTGCTTACAGGGAATTGTCAGGCCCTCTCTGTAAGGCAACAGTACCTAGGATGAAATACAGAAGTGAAAAACACCAGGACTTTTTTGGAATGCCACTGGTGACTGTCCTGAGATGAACTGGAACCTCTATGGAAGTTATCAGGCTCTTTCCTGCTTAACCTGAAAAAGAAAATCCACAGAAACACGACAGCAGCAGAAGCAGCTAAAGCCAATGCTGTTTGAAAGTTCTGATGGAGCTTGTGCAAGGAATAAGGATCTCAAAGCACTGGACAAAGAAATCAGTGTAAGCACTTCAAGACAGCAGGGATCAAGGGGTCCCAAGCCCTGGAATGTTACTGAAGTTGATGACACTGGCTGCAAATGGGAGGATGGGGGAAGGGGGCAGGAACAGGGAGAATAAAGCAACATTAAGCAAAAATGGACAGACACAGAGCCGTACACAAAAACCATCCGGAGATTAGTACAGATGGAGGAACCAAGCTTGCAGCAGGGGAGCTACGCAGAGCATCTTCACTGAAGGCGATCAGAGTAGAGCTGGCAGTATGGAGCTATAGGGGATTGTTACATCCTATAGTGCAGGAAGCCTGAGTTATCATTACCAAGGCCTATCCAGCTATGAGCAAAGCAGGTTCTCAGTTTTGTCCAAATGCAAGGGAGCAAATCAATGAGCAGCATTATCAACCTCTTCCTCTCAAAGACAAGACACAGGAGCTTTATATTATTGATGAACTGAGTAATCAATGATGCCTTTAAACAACTGCTTAATAATGAAATACAAAGAATTTCTTAAGGAATTAGCAAGGGAATAAAGCCTGCTAAAAACCGACTAAAAATAATTTTTCTTCTGTAAATATCACTTGTGTCAAACAGCAAACATACTTGTGTTTTGAGAAGTTGATCATTAAACAATGCAAGTTTCATGTACTTGTCAGCTAGATGACATCAGACACTATCGGTAGCTTTACCCTTCTTGAAGGGGGCTGCCCCTCATGTTCAGTACAGTGATAAAAACACTGCCTTTGTTATAAAAGAACAGCAGTAAAGTAACTCAAGGAAAAAGAAAAAAAAAAAAAAAGAGAGATTTAGTTCTCTGTCAAGAGACGGATGCCAGCAATAGATAACATGTTTTAAAGGTTTCTGGCATGAAGCAACAGCTTTCAAAATTATCTGTTAACAGAAAGTAAACAAGAATTCTGTCTCAACAGCATCTTTTGTTTTGGTCTTTACATCAGATTTATTTAGGAATGTAAACGTCAACATACTGGCTGTGCATTTTAAATTGTTTCAGCTCACATCTGTCAATCAAAAAGAGCCCAAAGAATACTTATACCAGTGGAATTCAATATGAGCATAATTAATTTAACAGATGCCTATTGATACTGCCTTTGCAGTCACATAACCTTGCTCTCCCTGTGGTAAGGGAGCCAGCTCTATTCCAAAATCAAGCAATCATACAAGCATCCTCCTGGCTGAGAATGTGGACAGAACTCAATCATCTCAAGACGACAGTTATGTATATATTTTATGTATTTTTTAAGAGCTGTATTTTAATATACAGTCATCAGTTCTAAAGATGATACCAGCATCAGGATCAGAAGAATTACTAGCTCCATGTAACTATGCCAAGATTTTGTTCAGTAATAGAAGATAAAAGGACAACAGTATCAAGTGAGGAACAAGATTTTGCGCCCCCCCCCCAATTTATCACAAGTTTATCATCAGAATAAGAAAATTTCTAGCGATGCAATCTAGAAACAACATTATTTGCCTATCTTCAAAAGTGCGATAGAGGAAAAAGAATCTTGAGCTATTAAGGATAGAACATGATTCAATTCTTTTGAAAATTCTCATCTATTCAAGAATCAGCTTTTATAAATATTTTTACAATAAGAAAGGACTTACTGTTTAGCATCATCATCTGCATCATCATCATCATCTTCTAAATGTGCCACATGTCCCCTAAGAAAATGAACACAGTACCAGGGCTGAGTGAGTTGTATTAAAATTACTTCGGCTACTGTGAAAAATTCTGAGCTCAAGGGCTACTACCTCTTTTATAGAATTTTACTGTCTTTTAGTTTTTTATCATTATTATTCTTTAAAGCACAGCTGCAATCCAGACAACTAAGCCTTTCCCATAATGTCTCAGCAAGTACAGGGACAAACAAGAACTAGTTGTGACAGACATAAGAAATCAATGCACAAATGACTTTGAAACACACAAGAGGGAAAAATAAAAGAATAGAAATTACCGCTGATGCAGTTCTTCTTCAACTGATTTTAAGAGACTCCTTCAGCATTAAATAAGAATAAGAACACAGTTTAATTGTGACACACAAACTTAATTATCAAAAGCCAGGGCAAATGCTCCTATGATTCTGTCAGTAAATAACCCAAAGCATGTTAGTTCAGTTGTTCATAGATCAAACATCCACATACAAATGAACATAGCTATATATATTTTTTTTCCACACACTTTCACATGCATTTATTAATTTATTGATATTAAGTGGATAGAATTTTAAAACAAATCCCCACTATCCAAGAAAATCAGACTGACAAGAAGATTAAACTACTATTGGAATAAATTCTAGTTAATTTTTGTAACATTATAAACTGCTTCATTTTTCTGTCTCTGTCTGAAAACACAGACAGGGAAGAATAGCAGGCAAAACACTGGGATAAGAAAGAACAGGATTTTGGAAGGTATCAGTATTTGTATCTTCTGCAACTATATGGAAAAATATAATGTTCTATGCTTAGATTCTATGGATTTTTTAAATATGATCGAATTTAGCAAAGCAAAGCTAGACATCCTAATTCTGACATGCACAAATGTAATTAAGAGATCTGGTGGAAAGGAAGAATTACATGGAAAACTATTTCATATGATTAATACAACAAAATTATTTACATGTATGAACATGAAGTTTAAGGACTTTGCTAAGTTTTATTTTTTTAAATCATCTATAACAACTGAATGTTCCTAGTGCCCTACAACATGAAGAAGGGCATAAAGCAATGTCAAAGAGCAGCACTGGTAGTTCCTAGATGGGGTAAAATTGTGCTCTGTGGGACCTGTCATGCAGAACATGTTGTTAAAAAGCAGACCAAGATAACAGCTCTTAAAAGGAAGCTTACAGCACCATAGAGACAGTACTGTCAACACAGCCTCAAATACTGAAAAGTGCTGTAATTCTGTATCATTGGAATTACCATTATTCTAGAAATAAATAGCAATTTTGGAATTGTAACCCATATAAACAAGCTTGACATTTTACCACATCTGTTTCAGCTAATGCTTTTAGCACACACTTGTAATTTCTGTATTAAAACAGTCTTGAATGAATTAAAGACAGAAAATACCGTTGCTTACTCACTTATTTGCGCCCAAAAAATAGCCGTACTGAGGACCATGGCCATATTCTAGCTGTAGATCCTACAAATATAAAAGAACAAATCTTTAAGATGATCAAGTGAGCAAACACATACCATGTGTCATGCGGCCATTATTCCCTCTGCCACACTTGAGCTATGAAACAAGGTCATTCCTGTGGCCTTCCAGGCCCCTAACATCACACTCAGGCCCATCGCACCCAAAAATCTCCTCTGCCTGTTTGCTGCATCTCTAATTTCTTTTAAAACTCTGACTTTAGCCCATTCCTTGGACACACAGATCCTTTGCTCAAATAAAGTTGGCTGCAGAAAGGAAACAAAAAAACAACAAAAATAATATAATAATATAAATAAATAAACAGACTTTGTGATCTTCCAGACCCCGTAGAGAACCCAGCATCTCTCTCTGGCATATTGTAGTATTCGTTTCAGAGGGGGAGTAGTTCTGGCAGGAAGCCAGAAATGCCTTTGGCACATGGTGATATTAAAGAAATAAGCAGAGAGGACAGTAAAAGTGTTTTTATAGCTGTGGTTATAGCAATACCTATTTTAAGGATAACTATATATGCTCTCATGTATACTTTAAGATCACATTTTATATAGAAAAGAAAAATACAATATTAACAGCAGAGTCAAGTACTCAAGAAATCACGGAGTATGGGCCACTTCGAAGTGGCAATAAGCCTCAAATACTGTTATTCAATAGATGCCATATGGCATATAAATTTAATGCATTAATGAGAACGCAGGGACCATATTGAAGCACCATCAAATCTGAATCTGCCAGGAGGATACTACTATAATTACAGGGTCTTTTTTTCTTCAGGTAGATCACAACAGGAAAAATCTGAACATAAATTTGCTCCCAAAACACTGAGTGTATTCCCCATAAGAAATGAGTTACTGATCACCTAAGTTAGTAATAAATGGAGCTACATTGTTCCTTTCCAGGAAACATTTTAAAGGTCTTCTAGCATCTTCTGTCAAACAGGCCTCTTTCAGCTGCAGGCCCTATCAAAAGCATATCATCCTTCAGAAAGATGCTCAGATATCCAAGCTACAAGAACAATAAGCTTGAATTTGACAACAACAACTCATGGGGCTGATCTCTCAAAAGGACATTTACAAAAATCAGATGAAAAGTCTCACACTAGATTGGCCAGTGCCTGATGAAGCAGAAGCCACTGCAGCTTTCAGTTCCAGACTGAAGGGCAATCACTTTAATACAAAGCTATGTATACTGTTTTCTGCTTGGAAAGGAGTTCCAGGTTGTTTACTGCACCCTCAATTCTGCTCTGTAAAGCTAAGTAGTAGTTTCCACATGGGTGTTTCTACCACAGGTGTCAGTAGCATTTGATTGCTTCAGTGACTTTCCATATTTTTCCAAAACAAGTGAGATATTGTGGAAAAAACAGCATGTAACTGATAATTACTTGATGTAAAAGAATGCATAGACTAGAGTGTTGAATAAAAATTGCAAAGGCAAGCCCAATACTGTTATTTCTGAACCATGGAGAGGTTGACTTCTCAATATTCATACAAACTTTATTACACGTCTGTTTTTTAGAATAAACAAAGAAACCCCAAAAACACCAAACCTCATCCACTTCTATGGATCTGTCTCACAAGGGCCACCCAACTTTCCTCCTAGACTTCTGTCAGTGGAACCAGAAAGTTAGGTGACAGGAAAGAAGGGCTAACAAGTGGCCACTGCCAGCAGGGAGGAAGGCTCACTCCTCTCCAGGAACATGACCCAGGCTCTGTGAGGTAGCAGGTGGAAGGGGTCAGGCCTCAGTCGTGGGTATCTTTGATCCCTTTTGCTATACCTCTTCTTCTTCATAGTTTCATCCTCCTCCAACGCCCTAATCTCAACGACTCCTGTTCCTTGCTCCAGACAAGCACAGCAGGTCTCCTCTCAAAGGCAGCCATCCTAGGCCCTCCACAATTTCAGTCTCTTCATCACTCCCAGTATCTGTCACCTTATCCAGGCAATTCCTTTCTGCTGGTCCTCACCACCAACTGATGTACTCCAATCCACCACGAAGAGACACAGATTTAATTTTCTTTAGTGTGAGTACTTATATTACTTCTATGCAAACTCAAAAACTTCCACATGTAAGTACAGGTACTTTGAGGGTTCAGCCTCTACAGCAGAAAACAACAAGACTAGAAACATTAAGATGTCACCAGACTCATAAACAAGGAGGTTAAACAGGTTGTGTGAGTCTATGTAAGAGGATGCCAAAACAAAGACTGGGAAGCTATTGAGAAAAATAACTCCAGATCAGTATAATGAAATCTGAGATTTTCACCTTGAAGTGACAAGCACTTTGTCTACATGTTGCAAAATAACATTAATCAAAAGCGGGAAACGAGGATCTTATGCTAGATAGAGCCACAAAGTTCGTTCGCTTTAATTTATACACTGTGCAACATATGGCTATATACATATATTCATAGAATCACAAAATCACTAAGGTTGGAA